GCTGGGTGAGGGAAATTTTCCTGGATAATGTCCTGAAGAATATTTTCCAGCTTGGAGTCATTCTCTTCGTCCCCTTCTGGTACACCTATCAAACGTAGGTTAGGTCTCTTCACATAGTCCCACATTTCTTGGAGACTTTGTTCATTCCTTTTTGCGCTTTTTTCTCTGATCTTGGTTTCTCATTTTATTTCATTGAGTTGATCTTTGACTTCTGATATTCTTTCTTCTGCTTGGTCAATTTGGCTATTGAAACTTGTGCATGCTTCGTGAAGTTCTCGTATTGTGTTTTTCAGCTCCTTTAATTCATTCATATTCCTCTCTAATTTATCCATTCTTGTTATCATTTCCTGGAATTTTTTTTCAAATCTTTTTTCAAGGTTCTTAGTTTCTTTGCATTGATTTAGATCATGTTCTTTTAGCTCACAGAAGTTTCTCATTACCCACCTTCTGAAGTCTAATGCCGTCATTTCATCACAGTCATTCTCCGTCTAGCTTTGTTCCCTTGCTGGTGAGGAGTTTTGGTTTTTTCTAGGAGGCGAGGTGTTCTGGTTTTGGGTGTTTTCCTCCTTTTTGCGCTGGTTTCTTCCCATCTTGGTGGATTTATCCACCTGTCGTCTGTGTAGTTGCTGACTTTTTGATTGGGTCTCTGAGTGGACACCCAGATTGTTGGTGATGAAGTATTTCTGTTACTTGGTTTTCCTTCTACCAGTTTAGCCCCTTCGCTGTATGACTGCTGAGGTCCACTCCAGGCCCTGCTTGTCTAGGGTGCACCTATATCAGCTGCGGAACAGTGAGGGATGCTACCAGTTTCTTTTTCTGCTATCTTTGTCCCAGGATGGTGCCTGCCAAATGTCAGTGTTTTGGATATAGAGGGGTCAGGGAGCTGCTTGAGGAGACAGTCTGTACTTTATAGGAGCTCAAGTGCTGAGCTGTGAGCTCTGTTGTTCATTCAGGGCTGTTAGGCTGCTATGTTTAATTCTGCTGCAACAGAACTCATAAAAAAAAACCTTTTTTTCTCAGATGCTGTGTCTTGGGGGGTTGGGGCTTTTTTTTTTGAGTGTCCGTTGCACTGTCCTGCCCAGCTAGGAGGCAGTCTAGTCACTATTTGCATGCCGAGGCTCCACCCTGCTGGTGTGAGGTTCGCCCTGTTGCTGCAGGCTCTGACCTTCTGCTGTGGTCTCCGCCCTGCTGCCACGGGCTACGCCCTGTGGTGGAGTCTCTCTGTTGTAGTGGGTTGCCTCGGCAACGGCAGGCTGCATCAGCAATGGGTGTGTACCTCAGTAGGGGCTGATTGCCTTGGTAATGGCGGACGCCCCTCCCCCACGGAGCTGCGCTTTCAGGAAACCTCCCCACCTGGAGCGTTTGGGATCGCCGTTTTGTTTGTCGCACTGCGCTACCCCAAACGCTGTGTCCCTAGAATCTCCTTGGCTGGCTCACTGTCCAAGTCCCGTTCAGTCTCAAGTTCAGCCCTCTCAAGTCTCAGGTTGCCGGTTCAACAGGGCACCTGGACCAGTGCCCTTTGTGCGGAGTGCTGTGGAGCACTGCTGTGCCACAGCATGGGCCGCCACCATACTGGCTGCCGGCTACACCAGCCAAAACCTCTGCCTGGCGTCCCGCGTCTCTTTTATACCTGGGAATTTCCCCGTTCTGTGGGCAACAAAGATCCATCTGGAAATGCGTCCCTGACTCACTCTCTCTGCGCATCCACTGAGAGCTTCAATCCTGGGTTGTTCTCACAGCACCATCTTGAGTCCTCCCCCCAGTTTTTATTTTTATAATTAACATTGTGCTTCAATTTTGAATAAATCACTTCCATATGTAAAAAGTTGGGAGATCCCATTAGAGATGAAGAATACAAAATACACAAAAAAACAAAACAAAACAAAAGTTGAGAGGGGGATAAACTCCATTGCTTACTTTTTCTAGTGAAAGTAAGTTGTGTTTATTTGGCCATTGTTTTTAATCCATAAAGTAAGATATTAAAAAGATTTGGAAGTGAAAAAAACAAAACTTGCTCCTGTCTAACTGGTGTTGTGGCAAAAGAAAAAACAACAACACTTTGACTTCTAAAGGTGGAAACCTTAACTTACTCTGCCCAAGTCACATATTAAATACATAAATTAAGATATATGAAGTTAATTAAAATTGTGAAAGCACTAAGAAAATAATGGCCTATTTTCATCTCAGGAATAAAAAAAGAAACTAAGCACATTTTTAAAGGTGTTAGAGGCTGGGTGCAGTGGCTCACACCTTTGGGAGGCTGAGGTAGGAGGATCCCTTGAGCCCAGGAGTTTGAGACCAGCCTGGAAAACATAGTAAGACTGTGTCTCTACAAAAAATGAACAAAATTATCTGGGCATAATGGCACATACCTGAAGTCCCAGCTAGCTGGGAGCCTGAGGTGGGAGGATTGCTTAAGCCCAGGAAGTCAAGGTTGTGGTTAGCTGAGGTCATACCACTATCCTTCAGTGTGGGCAACAGAGAGAGAGCCTGTCTCAAACACACACACACACAAACAAAAAAGTTCTAGAGCCTTAAAGATAGAGCAAAGGAAAAAAGAAGTAATGTTAAAAGAGGTCATTTTTTAAATGAGTAGCTTCTTGCCTTGCTTGAATAGGACCTGTATCCTCTTGCCTGCTATTAGGCATAACTTGTCCAGTAGATTGTGAAGAAGTTTGTTGCCTTTTTGCTCTCTCAGTTAACCTAATATTTAAAAATGAATAAGAAGTCATTAGAACTCCCCAGAAATGCTTTGTTTTTTTTTTTTTTTCTTTTTAGGCAGAAGCTCACTCTGTCACCCAGGCTAGAGTACAGAGGCACGATCTCAGCTCACGGCAACCTCTGTCTTCCAGGTTCAAGCGATTCTCTTGCCTCAGCCTCCCACACAGTTGGGATTACTGGTGTGCTCCACCACACGCAGCTAATTTTTGTATTTTTTGTAGAGACAGGGTTTTGCCATGTTGGCCAAGCTAGTCTCAAACTGCTGCGCTAAAGTGATCCACCTACCTCAGCCTCCCAAAGTGCTGGGATTACAGGCATGAGCCACCACACACAGCTAATCTTTGTATTTTTAGTAGAGATGGGGTTTCACCATGTTGGTCAGGCTAGTCTCAAACTCCTGACCTCAGATAATCCTGCCTCAGTCTCCCAAAGTGCTGAAATTACAGGCATGAGCCACCGTGCCTGGCCAAGATTTTCTATTCACTGTGCTTATAACTCACTCTGCAATGGATCCAATTACTAATTGCTTCCATTCAGGTTAAATATTTTCACTCCAAAGGGAAAGAAAGTAAAAGCATATATTGATGCATTTAGGACATTTCAATCTGAACACAAACCAAAATGGTATTTAAATACCTTTTTTTTTCTTTTTTGAGATGGAGTCTTGCTCGTCAGGCAGGCTGGAGTACAGTGGCACAATCTCAGCTCACTGTAACCTCCACCTCCTAGGTTCAAGCGATTCTTCTGCCTCAGCCTCCCAAGTAGCTGGGATTACAGTCATGCACCACCACGCCCAGCTAACTTTTGTAGTTTTAGTAGAGATGGGGTTTCACCATGTTGGTCAAGCTGGTCTCGAACTCCTGACCTCAGGTGATCAGCCTGTCTCAGCCTCCCAAAGTGCTGGGATTACAGGTGTGAGCCACTGGCTCCCGGCCTTTAAATACTATTTTTAAATTATTAAGAAATACAGCCGGATGCAGTGGCTCACGCCTGTAAGCCCAACATCTTGGGAGGCCAATATGGGTGAATCACTTGAGGTCACAAAGTTATACAGCAGCCTGGCCAGCACAGCAAAACCCTGTCTCAAAAAAATCAGAATAAAAGAAAGAAAACAAATAATACAGTTGCTGAGGCCTGCCTCCTGGCTTAAGAGTGGCAGCCTCCTTCCAATTAGGCTGCACTTCCATAAACGCCAGCACGAGTGGTGCAGTACGTGCATGCAGTTTCCAGGCACCGAACACTGGCCAGCGCTGGACTCGGATGCCCAGGTTTGAGCCAGCATCATGCATCCCTGTCGCATCCTCCATTCTCTGCTTCCCTGAGCACCCCGTGTGCCCTTCAGCATGATAAGAATGATCTGCTCTGTGGTGTTCACATGGGGCAGGGAGAAAATCACATCATCAGGCTCTGGGCTGCTTGCTCAGTGACCCACAAGAGGCAGAAGCATTTATGCACCATCGCACGATTTCAGATGCAGGGAACTGACCACCGTGTTCACTCCCATGCTGCATCTGGTCCAGGACACGGTGAGTGTGGAAGGGTTGGGAATGGCAGAAAGCCAGCTGCTCTAAGCACTCACCTCCCCAGCCTGTTTTATTCAGAATTTGAGGAAAGGGCTGATGGAGTGACCAGCAGTGAGACTGGAGCTGGCAGCCGCCATCCCTGTGCTCTGCAGCCCCAGGGAACGCAGGCCCCGGGAGGGGTTCCAAGGTTGGCTACCATCTCCCACTGGCCGGAGGCCATCTTCAGGTGGGGAGGTGAAGGTGTGGCAGCCATGTGCTGTTTTTTCTCTCCTGCAAGATGCAGCTTAGACTTCCTGCTTGCAAAATGTCTGTTCTCTTCCATGAGGTCACCGAGCGCTCCCATGGTGCCCATGGCTCAGGCTCTCATGGCTTTGCAGATGCAGACAGAGCAATGCCAGCCAGGTGAGTGCACAGTGATCCTGGCAGCCCTCTCAGGAGTTCTGGGGAGCCCTGGTCACTGTGCTCTGGAGAGAGGAACTGAGGTTCTGTTTCACAACTGCATAGCAAGGCCTTCCCCACATGTCGGTCATCCAGCCAAAGGCTCCCGTGGGCCCAGGGTGCCAGGTGCCAGTCTCCCAACCTACACCAAGGCTGGGCTCAAGCCATAGCTCTGCTCCAGATGGCAAAAGGCTTTAGCTTCCCCACAGCTCTGCACCTACCCTGTACAACAGGGGGTCGATCCCTGAGCCAGGACCACTGGGTCCAGGAGGTGGGCTGGCTCCCCCCACCCCCAATGGGCAGCACACCCAGCTTTACCTCCCAGCATCCTCTTGGGTGGCAGGGCAGGCACCATCCAGTAGGGGAACTTGTGCAGAAGCATCTCCTGGAAGTCTATGAAGTCGCTGTACTGTCTGTACACGGAGGACTTGAAGTGCTGCAAGAGAAGGGCTTGGTGCTTACATCCAACAGTGGAAACTGTGCGGCTTCATCACTTCCCTCAACAGAACCCAGAAAACAACAGCACTGAGCACATCTTCTCTCACCAGGCATCTACTAAAGGAGGAACCCTGTAATGCCTTCATCTATGGCAATGTCACTTTCAAATTTTATATAGCTCTTAGGCTGGGTGTGGTGGCTCACGCCTGTAATCCCAGCACTTTGGGAGGCCAAGGTGGGCAGACCACCTGAGGTCAGGAGTTCGAGACAAGCCTGGCCAACATGGTGAAACCCCATCTCTAATAAAAATAAAAAATAAAAAATTAGCCAGGCTTGTTGGTGCATGCCTGTAATTCCAGCTACTCAGGAGACTGAGAGGCACAAGAGTCACTGGAACCAGGAGAAAGATGTTGCAGTGAGCTGAGATGGCACCACTGCACTCCAGCCTGGGGGTGACAGAGGGGGGAAAGAAGGTAATGGATAAGAATAACACATTCTTCACTTCATTCATGCTATTGCAAGCATCACTGTTTTCTCCTGAAACAGCCCCAACTCTCTTAGAACAGACCAAGCACTGACTATAAACTAATACAGAGCAGACGCTTGATCCAAACATATATGCTTACAAACTGCATTGTGAACACCACCATGAATACAACTTCAGACTCCACAAGGTTAGCATCCTATTCACTTGAGTAGCCTAATCTGGACCTAATGAAGAGCTTACCCAGGAAACACACATAAACAATTATCTTTAAAATTAAACATGTGTGGCCTGGGGTGGTGGCTCATGCCTGTAATCTCAAGACTTTGGGAGGCCAGGGCAGGTGGATCACGTGAGGTCAGGAGTTTAAGACCAGCCCAGCCAACATGATGAAACCCCATCTCTACTAAAAACAAAAACAAATTAGCCAGGTGTGGTGGCAGGCACCTGTAATCTCAGCTACTTGGGAAGCTGAGGCAGGAAAATCACCTTAACCCAAGAGGCAGAGGTTGCAGTGATCTGAGATCATGCCACAGCACTCCAGCCTGGGTGTCAGAGTGAGACTACCTTAAAAAAAAAAATTAAACATATGATATGAAGCACAGTGTCCCCACCTCCACTCAGCACATATCTACTTCACGTTGCATTTCCCAGGCTCCAGCCTGGAGGATGAGCAGGCACATGACTGGAGAACGCACCTGGCAGAGGTTTCCCACCTGGTTGGTGGCTGGCAGGCTGGTCCATGACAGCATCAGGGGGTGACCAAATTGCCCCCTTAACAATGTTCCCTACATGGCGACGAATTTACTTAACGGATGGGCACCTTAGTAAGACTGGCAGAAAGGCCAGCTGCTGGCTCCCTGACAAGGAATAGCATGTCTCACAAACTCAGAGCTGCCTCCCCATAGGCTGCCAGGCCCCAGAAGGAAGGACTAGCTCGCTCCGCTCCCCTGTAGCATCCCGCCAGCTGGTCCACATCCCCAACTGTGGCCCAGAAGGCCAGGAACCACGACAATGCCGGGCAGCAAGGCAGCTTTGACATGGTCCTTGAAGGGACGTCTCCCCTCTCTGACCCCCTTCATCCTTTGCTAGCGGCAGACAACCATTGGAAACGTGTGGCCACAGGCTCTGAAACACAATGAGGCAGAGCAGAGCAGATGGCAGGGAAGGGAAACCTGCTCGTTCGTCCTTAAGGCCAGGTAGGGAGGCTCATGCTTGTGAGCCCAGCAGTTTGGCAGGCCAATGTAAGAGGAATGCTTGAGCCAGGAGTTCAAAACCAGCTGAGACAACATAGCAAGCCTCCATTTGTAATTAAAAAAAAAAAAGCAAGTTTGGACATGGTGGCTCTTTCCTGTAATCCCAGCACTTTGGGAAGCCAAGGTGGGAGGGCTGCTTGAGCCCAGGAGTTCAAGACCAGCCTGGACAACATAGCAAGATCCCATCTCTACAAAAAAAAAAATTGCTGGGTGTGGTGGCATACACCTGTGGTTCCAGTTACTTAGGAGACTGAGGTGGGAGGATTTTTCTGAGCCCGGGAGATTGAGGTTACAGTGAGCTATGACTGTGCCACAGCACTCCAGGCTGGGCAAGACCCTGTCTGTTTAAAAACAAACAGCTGGGCTCAGTGCCGCTTGCCTATAATTTCAGCACTTTGGGAGACTGAGGTGGGTGGATCACAAGGTCAGGAGTTCAAGACCAGCCTGACCAATATGGTGAAATGCCATCTCTACTAAAATTACAAAAATTAGCCGGGCATGGTGGCACATGCCTGTAATCCCAGCTACTTGGGAAGCTGAGGCAGAAGAACTGCTTGAACCCAGAGGTGGAGGTTGCAGTGAGCCGAGATTGTGCCACTGTACTCCAGCCTGGGCAACAGTGTGAGACACTGTCTCAAAAAATAAATAAATAAAAATAAACACAAACAAACAAAAGGCACACCTTTTACCCAGGACCATTTGCTCATGATGTTTTTCAAACAAACCCCTGGTAGTGCTGTCCAGCTGGAGCTGGGCTGGGGCCACCCTCTCCCACATGGGAGTGGGCTCTGCTCTGTCTGTGAATCCCCCAATCCCTGCTGACTCCGCAGCTCCCAAGGACAGTGTTGGCTCATCAGTTACTCAATGCCCAGGACGAACAATGAAAACTCTTATCAGAATCTGTCCTAACAGAACTGAGATAATAAGCCAAGGACAGAGAGAGCCACGATTCTGATGCCAGACAGGTATCAGGCACTCAGTGTCTGCATCTGATTTGCCCAATATCGGAGTACCCAGCAAGAGGAGGGCCGTGTTATTAAAAGGGATTAGAATGACACATATTGATCCTGCCACGCAAATTTGATTCACTGTTTGGTGTCCGCTTTGGATGGGGCTGACATTCTAATCCTCGGGGGTTCCCCAGGATTACAAAGCTAAGCTAGTGTGGATCCTGCTTTGTGCACTTCAGACCATCCTCAAAAGATTCCTAAGAAACAGGACTCCAGAGCAGAGTGGTGGGGAGGACGAACTGTGCCAGGTGGGGATGTGGCTGGGCCAGAGCGAGGTGCAAGGAGCAGATGCGTGGAAAAGTCTGCTCTGCAGCCTGACTCTGCTGCAAGTTCTGGATCTCGCCTGTAAGCCAGGTGCACAAACTCACCCTTCAGCCTTCTTCTGTCACACCGCCCCTGCCTGGAGGTTTTGAGATGGGACCCTTTCATCTCCTCCTCCCCCGACACATGCACTAGTTGCCAGTTACCCAGCTGGAAACCTCATACTCCACATGCTTCAGGAAGAGGCCTTTCTTCTCCAGAATGAGCTCCACCTGCACCGTGTCCCTGGCCAGCAACTCCTGCAGGCTGTGAGACAGCAGCAGCGTGTTCCCCTGTGGCATCTGCATTTGACTGGGGGATGGGGCCTGCTGCACAATGGCCTGGGGCTCCATGGCCTGGGGCCATGTCTGCAGGAGACCTGTTGGCAGGTCTGCAGGAGAAAGGAGGAATGTCCAATGAGAATGGCTGCTCAAAAGGTGAACCTTGGCCGGGCACAGTGGTGCGCCCCTGTAATCCCAGGACTCTGGGAGGCTGAGGAGGGAGGATCACTTGAGCCCTGGAGTCCAGGACCAGCCTGGGCAATATGGTGAGACCCGATCTCTACAAGAAATAAAATAAATTGAAAAGCAGAGGCCAGGCATGGTGGCTCACACCCATAATCCCAGCACTTTGGGAGGCCAAGGCTGGCAGATCATGAGAACACAAGATCAAGACCATCCTGGCTAACACAGTGAAACCCCATCTTGACTAAAAATACAAAAAATTAGCCTGGCATGGTGGCCCACACTTGTTAGTCCCAGCTACTAGAGAGGCTGAGGCAGGAGAATCGCTTGAACCCAGGAGGTGGAAGTTGCAGTGAGCCGAGATCGTGCCACTGTACTCCAGCCTGGGTGACAGAGCAAGCTTCAATCTCTAAAAAAAAAAAAAAAAAGAAAAAAAGAAAAGAAAAAAAGAAAAGGGGAGCCTCCCTCTGCTGTGTGCTAGCTCAGCATGTGGACTCTGGCCCAGCAAGTTCCATCCTCAGCCAGACACACTCATTCTTTCACACTACAAAGTCAACACTGGGGGTACGTTTTTTTCTTCAAAAAAATCGTAGTCAGTAGCCATGGCTCATGCCTGTAATCCTAGAACTCTGAGAGGCCAAGGCCCGAGGATCACTTGAGCTCAGGGGTTGGATACCACCCTGGGAAAGATGGGAAAACCCTGCCTCTACAAAAAGTACAAAATTAGCCAGGCATGGTGGCTCACTGGCTAATTTTGTAGTCCCAGCTACTCGGGAGGCTGAGGTGAGAGGATCACCTGAGCCTGGGAGGTCAAGGCTGCAGTGTGAGCCATGATTGCACCACTGCATTCTGGCCTAGGCAATAGAGTGAGACTCTGTCTCAAAAAAAAAAAAAAAAAAAAAAATGACTGCCCTGGGAGGCTTCTGTTGTGAACTGGATACGAGCCTGGGAATCTCGTCCAGCGAGAGGGTCCCAAACCTGGAAGAGAGCGTGTGCAGAAAAAAGGAGACAGAGAGAGAGAGAGAGAGAGAGAGACAGGGTCTGGAGGACTGATTAGGCAGTGCCCGAACAGCAGTGCCCAAACAACGACTTTATTTGTGCAGTAGGTTCCATTATATAGTTTTCTTTTTAACATCATTACCTCAATGCAGATCATTATTCAAACAATAAAAGGAACAGAAAATTCCTGAGGGATGATTCTGAGGAACTGTCAAAGGGAACAAATACTGATATAAAAGATCAAGGGAAAAATAGGTGATGCTGATTATCAACATTGTCAGAACAATCAGTAACTTGGATAACAATCTTTAATTAACTAGAAGACACAAGCTCAGTAGTAAATCATGCATCTGCGAAAGACAAGGACCGCAGAAGAGGTCGCCAGGCTGAAACAATGCCTGGTAAACAAAGTCATAAAACAGGTTCAGATCAGGAGCCCAAAAGGGGGACACAATGCCTTGTGAGACCACTCGGCATTCACCTAG